AAACCATCTAATAAAAATTATGCGTTTATCGATCATTATTTGTTTCGGCCAAGTTACCCTTTCAATTATTTGTTGCCAAAAAACAAAAAAACTGTTCGTTATTGCGAAACACACGTGCACGGCGTTCCATATTTTGACGTGACCGAAGAATTAAAATGTGCCTACAAACAAGAGAGCATCATTCCCATATTAAATTGGTACATTAGAAATTTGTGCAAAGACGAAGTGATCGCATACAAAGGTGGTTCAGCAGAAAAACAATTTTTAAAAATGTTGAGGACGAATGATAGAATTTTTAATATTGAAGAATACAAATGTCCAAAATGCAATGATTTGGTAAATGTCATAAATTTAAACAAACGTTATGTGTGTAATAATCATATATTTGCAAAAAATAATCACAAAATTTTACATTGTTCTTGTGATCAAGTGTGGGTTTTTACAAGTGGTTATTGCTTGAAAATAAAATTTTAAATTAATCATAAATTTTGTTTGATTTCCCAAACACATTAGTTATAGTACACAATATATATTAATTGTTTACCTACACCAACACTTTAATTTTTTATTTCACGCCTTAGAACTTTAGACGTGTGTAATGTTTCACTTTTTACATCCGTTTACTGCTATTGTGGCAGAACCAAGTGGATGTGGGAAGTGAAATTTTTAACAAATTTCGTAAAATCAGTTACAGAAATATGTAATTGTCATTTTAATCAGATCACATTGTGCTTTGATGAAATGCAACCTTTATATAATTTACCAAATGTTAACTATCATAAAGGAATTCCAAATCTTAATATGTTTGATGGTGAAAACCCACATCTTGTTATTATTGATGATCTAATGAGAGACTCCGATGCAACTTTAAACTCGAACAGTGTTTTGTATTAGATTAAATAGAAGATTTATAAAGAAATAAAAAAAATAATATATTGCATACAATTTGTTTTATTTAATTTTATAACGTTTTACATAATTACATACACACAAAATGCATTACACATAACACATAAAATCTAACACAACAGTAACATTTCCGTTTTTATCTATCTCAATAATATTATCAAACTCAGCATAAACTATACAGTTAATGGTTTGTATTAGTGAGGATTCAAATCGTACTTCTAATCTTACTCACTACCATGCTTTATGAGATTCCAATGAGCTGATGAGTTGGCTGATAAATCAGGAGTTATGTCAAATGCTAATAGACTAACCTTTGGCATACTGTTCACAAGAGATTCCATTTCCTTCATTAATAAAGTGAATTTCCAGAAAGTGACAGTTCCCGAGAATAGAGTATGATATGATGATGAATAAATATACTATTATTAAAAGATGGTTGCAAAGCTTTTGAAGGTATTTGTTGACCATCAATATATAGGCTGAAAGAATGAATACCATAGTTTTCAAAGTTAAATGGATTTTTAGTAAGGGAACCATTAAATGCAGAATTGGTCACAATTCCAATTATACATCTTTTGGGTACCTGTCCTAAAAATACATTATCAAGAGTTTTTCCTTGAACATCCGATGGAATTGTTAAAACTTTTACTTCAGCTCGAGTAATAGGATATTTAGCAGTGGTAGAAGCTAAAACTTTTTGATGTGCGAGTAATATACTTGGATTAATTCGTGCTCGTCGAACAATAAGAGTTGCGTCCGTAATGCAAACTTTAAACTTTACATCGTTTGACCCAGCAATTAAATTAAAACTCTCTCTTGATCGAACCAATTTAACACTCATTTCAACACCATTAATTAAAAATTTATCTTGGTTGAAAATATCACCGTGAAGATGACCAATCATTTCTATTTCCTTACTTTCACTAATCAATTCCTGTCTTTTAATAAATCCTATGTTTTTACCATCTGTAGAATCCATTTTTCCCGCTGTATCCTCATACCAAAGACTACAAGTAAGATGAGATTGTTTAGCAGCGGCAGCATAGTTTAAAAGGGTTTCCATGTATGCTCGATATGCATAGGTATTATTAGGTGGTGATACAAGTTTTTGGTTTAAATAAACATCAAGTTGACTAAAAAGTGAATGCAGCCAATTATTTACAGGTGCTACTATTGTAGTAGATATCAAGTTAGTTGAATCTTGATTTAATACTTTTGCCTTTATGTGGAGTAATGTATGAGACAAATCTATGTAGTCATCGCCTGTCCCAGGAACTTGAAACTCGATAGGTCCATCATCACCAAGAGATGAAATTGGTTTATAATGAATCCACAATCGGGCATTTTCAATGCTATTTTTAGGGGGTTTTGGGGGGGAGGCTTTTGGGTTTTTTTTGGGGTTTGGGGGGGGGCTGTAAAAAATTTGTGTAGACGGTAGTGCAAACAAATCCAATTCTGACTTAACGCACTCGCAAGAATGATTATGAGGGAAAGACATATTTAATTTGAAAATATATCTTTGATATTTTTTGGTTTTAGACCAAGTTTTTTTGCAGCTTTGACATTAGCAGTTATTGGTGGAATGAACGAGGTCAATCGTTTTCTTTTAGTTTTATACCCAGATCCTGTCATGTTAAATTGATCAATTTTCTCATCAGCCTTTCGTTTTAAATTCGTACTAACTTGCTTTAAACGATCTTTTATTGAGGCTTCCATAGGACGCGCTTGAACCATATCAGATAAAAGTCCTACTCCAGCGCTTAATGCCTCCTTACCAATCACTCGAGCACCACTTGAAAGTAAAGGTAAAACTGATCTAATGACCCCCCCTAAGAAGCTCCCAATACCATTTGACGGCGTTTGTATGGTGAACCCTTATAAATTACTCCAACTCCTGACCCAGCTTGATGTATATATAATAATTTTCATATGGACATCTATGATGATCACGAAGAGAATTCATTATTATAATTTTCGGAAATGTAGTTTAATACACACGGTTCCAAACTGGAATGGTATTTTTTGTCCTGTGCTCGATCTTATAACTATTTCCAGCGTATCGAACTCTCTTTGCATAACAGGTAAGTAGTGAGGTTGAGAGAAAACGTGCATTTTATTTGCACTATAAATGTATTTTGTAGGATCTAATGAAATGACTCTTAGTAAAGGAGTCATAACATCACCCACAATTTGAGGATCGATAATGTCGCAATATAGAAATAGTTGAGATGGTAACCCTAAGTGTAAATTAGCAGGACACTTTCCAAAATGTCCCTAGGAGATTTTTATTTGGTTCATAAACTAGTCGTAAACTTAATTTGGGTGATAATGTTACGGATGTTATATTTTTATCCAAAACATAAATAGACACAAATTTTGTTATTTCATCATAGCGAAATTTCAAGTTCTCTCCGATACCATTTAACACTCTTAAAATATGCTCAACGTTATCATAGTTGGTAGCTGGAATATGTTTTTTGTAGTACACTATGGATGGTTTATCTTTATTAGGCATTAACATAGATTTTGTAATGTATATAACATTTTCATGATCTTCAACAGTAAACATGGTAAATGGATATTGAAACTCGACAACTCCAACCGATCATTCACCTTGTAATTTAATAGCTTTTGGTAATTTCGTTGAAAAATTTGTGGTCTTGTAATCAGGAAAGTATTCCATTGAACTATTGCTGAGCAAAGTTAAATAAAAACTTTCTTTATTCATATTTCTTTTAAACTCTAGTTTAAAAGAAATATGAATAAAGCTTCTAAGCTAAAATCCAATCCAATAACGAGTGTCAATTATTTTATCTATTTTATATTGTGAGGTGGGGTTGTAAGTGATTTTCTGTAATTCTCTTTCATAAAAAGTACCAACTATTGGTTCATTTTGTAAATCTGTTATTGTATAAACATCCCATGGAGATCTATCAATTATTGAAGATATAATAAATACTTTCATCACTCCAATTTGATTCATATCCTTTTTGGAAAATATGTTCATATTTAGTTATTCGAACATAATCACCCACATTGAAATTTGGTTTAGGATTTTCTAAGGAAAGTTTGTTTGCCGTCTATCATAAAGATTAGTCCAAACTGTCATAATATTATTGGAATTTACATCACATGGGCACATCTTAATACTATAGTGAAAGCTGTGATTATAAGAGTATATTAAATCTTGTAAAACATTTATATATCTATAAGAAGATATATGTCCCGATCGCGGAGCGCACAAGACGTCACGGTCGCACTTACACTTAAAAAGTTTGTCAGAAAAAATCTTAAAACGTCCTAATTTAAAAAAAAAAGTGTAATCATACAGTTTTGTGTTACAAAAATATCTTGAAATTACAAGATAATCAAAATAAGCTGTGAATACAAATAACCCGAACAGTTGTAATAACAAATAAGTGATAATTAAGTGTAATTGTGAGTTATAATAAATATACTTTAATTAGAAAAGTTTGTCTGAAAAAATCTTAAAACGTACTTAATTTAAAAAAAGTGTAATTATACAGTTTTGTGTTACAAAAATATTTTGAAATTACAAGATAATCAAAATAAGTTGTGAACAAATTCAAATTATATTAAAAGAAGTGGGTGATCTTCAAATTTTGTTCATACAAGTTCGTTAGTGTAAAAAGCCGTTGTTTACTCAACAAAACGAACTTTGGACCGTGATGTAAACAAGTATTGTCGCTAATATATTGCAGATAAGTACTACACACCTTTTTCGCTTGAAATTACGTCGGTTGCATAGCTCAGTGGTACAACACCCGTTCAATAATTTCAAAGAATAAATACTTTATTTCATTTTCTTTTGTTATTTTTAATTTACTGTATAAAATATTAAGTCAATTTTTAAACTTTTTATTTAAAAAGTAATAGATCAAATAGAAATTAGATATTATATATTATATTGACTTTTCGCTAAAATGTCATCACAGAAAAACAAAAATTTGTCAACGATTTCCACAAAGACAATTATGAATATATGCACCAAATGTAAGAAAGTGATCACTTCTAAAGAGATTTTAAAATGCTTTATTTGTAATGAAAAATATGACTTAAATTGCATAAACATGTCAATTAGAAGATTTAATGCTATGAATATTGAAAAAAAATCCAAATGGAAATGTGATCAGTGCATACATAAGACAAACACTAAAAAAATATGTTCACCAAATGCTGATATTTCTCATAGCGTGAAAAAACAAGTCAATATCTCAAAAAATGATGTTTTACAACATAAAATGCTGCATAAAAGTAAAAACGAAATTGAAAGCTTATGTAATCAACTATTAACCACCAATAAATTCCAAAACAGAGTTAAAAATCGCACACATATAGAAACGTACTCGGACCCTGAAACTTCCTTATCATCCGAAGATTCAAACATAATAAAAAGCTTACCTGATCTTTCAACATTAGTAAATGATGAATCTATTGAGTTAAAACAAAGAAACTCCGAACTACAGCTAGAACTAGACAGTGCGCATATGGAAATAGAAAAGCTTATTCTTGAGAAACAAGAACTACAAAAAGAGGTTGACAAATTAGCGGCAAAAACAAAAAGATTACTTATGATATGTTCATCAAACAGTCCTAAAAAATAAAACTTCAGAAAAACGACGCATTACTCCAAACACCTAATAATTTAGATTTAGTAACACAAACACCTAATAAATTAGATTTAGAAACGCAAACATCTAATAAATTGGATTTAACAACGCCAACAGCGGCAATAAAAGACGTCAGGATAGATGACAAAAATAACCTGTTAATGACTAAAAACAAAAACATAGAACTAGAAAACAGGTTGGAGGAATATATTCAGCATCTACGTCAAACAAACTGCAATATTAAAAAAAGAAAAATATTTATATTTGGAACGCAACAATGTGTCGGCTTAGCCTCAGCGTTGCTTCGTTCGAGAGAACATAGTAAATATAAGGAATATGATATAATCGGTTATACAAAACCTGATGCCTTAACCGAAAATGTACTAAAAAGTTGTGTTCTCAATCAAGATTATGGTCCGTCAGATAAAATTATTATTTGTGTTGGTGAAAACGATAAAAATCCTCTAGCTGTTTCATCAGAATTATATATAACATTAAAACAACTAAGAAAACATAGTGTAATTATTTTAAATGTTTTAAATAATAGACATTTAAATACAGGGATGATAAATTCCAATATTATAAAAGTATGTAGTCAACATAAAAACTGTTATTTTATAAAAGAAAATTCCTATTATAAAAATCTATTCCACACTTGTAAAAGAATTAACTATATAATTGATTGTATAGATTATGATCAACAATTTTTAGACTATTCCCAACTAAAAAATATTATTAAACAGCGTTCAACACTAATTAAATGTTCTGAATTAATTAATAAAGTACATAAGAAAGGTACAATTCCTTACTATTCCGCAAATATAAAAAACAAAACAAAACGTAATATTTTAAATGAAAAATCTGGGGTTCAATTGGATATAATAGAGTGTGAGTGACATAAAGGAACCTATAAAGTTCAAAAAAGGAACTATCCCATTTTATTTTCCAATCATAGAAAACAACAGTTTATTTCGAAATTAAGACATTAGACATCTGTAGAAACAGTATTTTAATAAATGATAAAATACATAAAATAGGAAATTCCTATATGCGAGTATTTCACCAAAACATAGCAGGATTACTAGGAAAATTAGATTTACTTGAGGCGTGCATCGCAGAATTTAATTACTCTAAAGAACCAATAGACGTGATTTGTCTAACAGAAACATTCGTAAAAAATGGAGATGAAGAAAACGTAATTTTTAAAAACTTTAAACTGGCTGCCAATTTCTCAAGAAAACAATCAAAACGTGGTGGTGTGTGTATTCTTGTAAAACATAATTTCAAGTATCGCATCTTAGATTTTTTACAACCGTTTTCAAAGGAAATTGAGTTTGAATGTTGCGGTATAGAATTGACTGAACAAAAATGTATTATTATTTGTATTTATAGAACACCAAACTCGGAAATAAGTACATTTTTTACGAAACTTGATGCTTTATTACATAAGCTACGTGAAAAAATAAACAAAAAAATTATAATTGCTGGCGATTTTAACGTAAATATGTTAATTTTGAATAATAAATCTAATAGATTAAGAAGTTTAAAAAGCTATGGGTTTCAAATGCATATAACGGAAACAACGAGACAACATACATGTATAGACCAAATGGCAAGTAATATACAAGGAGCTATCGGAAAAGTCCATGAATTAGGTCTATCAGATCACACGGGGCAAACATTAAGTTTTTTGTTAAACGATACAATAAAGTCTCCTGGGCATTATTATATATTTAGAAGACAATACACGGAAAGCAATATTAGCAGTTTCTGCAATCACTTAAAATCATTATCATTCTTGGACGTATATGAGAAGGATAAATAGAAAAAGCATTTACAAAATTTTATGACACGTTTGTACTAATTTATAAGCTGTGCTTTCCCATAAATAGAGTCAAAGTAAATAATTTTGATCAAAAATTAAAATGGATTACAAATGGTATAAGAATTTCCTGTAGAACCAAACGTGCACTTCGCTATAAATATTATAAAAATAAAACTCACGAGAACAAAAATAAATATACACTTTATAGAAATATCCTAAAAAAACTATTTTACTGCCACAAAAGCAGATGAATCACAAATACGTACTAAACTCAAAAAATAAAACTAAAGCCACTTGGAACCTAATAAAAGAAAATAGTCAGACACATCCAAATCCCATTGATGGACTCACAGTCAATAATCAAAATATACTAAATCCCATTGAACTAGCTACAACATTTAATCAGCATTTCATCTATTCAATTAAAGACAGAATATCACATAATAGTGCGGATAAATTAAGCGTAACTAGTCTAAGAAATCAATCTGGTATTTATTTAAGGCCATGTGATATAACGGAAATTAAGAACCATATTTCATCACTTAAAAACACAAAATCTACTGGCTGTGATGAAATACAAACAAAAGTTTTAAAGAGGTGTCCAGGAAAAATCATAGACGTATTATGTTTTCTCATTAATAAATCGCTTGAAGCGGGAATTTTTCCTAAGGAATTGAAATTATCCGTTGTGATACCATTGCATAAAAAAGTTGACAGAAATAATATTAATATCTATAGACCAATTACACTAATATCAATATTATCAAAATTGTATGAGAAAGTTATGCAAAAAAGACTTTTAGACTTTTTTAATAAGTTTAACATATTAAAACCAGAGCAATATGGTTTTCAAAAAGGTAAATCTACGACACTGGCAACTTTTTCCCATATAAAAATCGTAACCGATTATATAAACAGAAAAATACCAATTTCTGCAGTGTACTTTGATATGAGCAAAGCATTTGATAGTGTTGGTCATGATATTCTCTTAAAAAAAATTGAAGCTTATGGTATAAGAGGGCCAGCTTACTCCTGGATACAAAGCTATTTAAAAGATAGAAAACAATGTGTTGAAGTACAACAAAAAGATAAAAAACGGCAAGACATTTTAAAATATAAATCTTCGTACTTACCAAATGATTACGGAGTGCCACAAGGGAGTGTTTTAGTTCCTTTACTGTTTTTAATTTACATAAATGACCTACCAAATTACATCAAACATAATACAATATTATTTGCTGACGACAGTTCTATTTTAATACGGAAAATAAATTTTAATTCTAGTAATAAAGAATATGAAAATGAAATAAATAATACTATTATAAATGTTGTTAAATGGATGAAAAACAATAATCTAAGCATAAATCTATCCAAAACTAAATTTATGCAATTCTACAATGTTAAAACTAAACCGCAATTACTTGATATTAAGTATAATGGTGAAAAAATTACTGCTACTGAATGTACCACATTTTTAGGTATTAGTTTAGACAAACATTGTAATTGGAAAAATCACATAGATAAAGTTTGTTCTAATATATTTAAATTTAATTTTGCTCTGCGAAGGCTAACTTCAATCTCGTTAAGAAACACTTCTCTTATAGCATAGCATGCGTATGTCGCTGCTGTATTAAGATATGGTCTCATATTATGGGGAAACTCGACTGATGTAAACCGTGCTTTTATAGCGCAAAAACGCTGTATACGAGCAATTTGTGGTGTCGGGCCACTAGTCTCTTGCAAACCACTGTTTAAAGAATTGGGTGTTCTTACGCTACCATCCATGTACATTTTTGAACTTTATTAGTTTTTTACTAGATTAAAGGATACAGTAACATATAGTACCAGATACCCAGATAAAATTATTTTACCTTCATTAAAAACTAGCCTGTATTCAAAAAATTGCTATGTGATGGCTATTCAAGTATTTAATAAAATCCCAAATGAAATAAGGCAATTAGATTATAATCGATTTAGACGTAATTTATAAAAGTGGCTTTTAGAAAAACAGTTTTATTCGGTAAATGAACTGCTAAAAATAAAAGAACGTTTCTATTGACTGTAAAATGCTGTTTCTTATCTGATTGTGTTTTAAACGATTAATATTAAGATTGTAAAGTGATGCATGTTTAATTTTACTTAAATTTTTGTATATTCTAACCATAAGTTAATTAGTAAATAAGTTTTCATATACCAAAATTGGTGAAATATGTGAATCATTATTATTTTTATAAGAACATCTTTGTACCATATTTCTTGTGAATAAATTTATTTATTATTAAATTTATTTATTATTATTATTAAGTATTATTATGAGTGAAATAACGCCACATTTTCATTTTTAGTGTTCTTTGAAATCGTTCAACAATACTGGCCTTAATGTCAGGATTGTTAGTGGTATAGTAATTAATCTTTTTGGATTTAAAGTATTTTTGTACGTCTTTTGAAACAAATTCTGTACCTTTATCAGATTGTATGTGAGTAGGTGTTAAATTACTTTCAGTAAATATACTTTCAAAACATTCTTTAGTTGTTTCTGAGTTTTTCTTTTTCATTGGTCTTGCAAAAGCATATTTACTAAATACATCAATAACACAAAGTATATACTTGAAACCATCATTATATTGAGAATAAGTTCGCATATCACTTAAATCAGCTTGCCACAGTTCATTAATATTTGATAGAATGTACCAATTACGCGGGAATTTTTTTCGAATGGGTTTATGTAATGTGTATGTTTCTTGTGATTTTAACCATTCCCTTACTTGCCTTTTATTCATTTTACCCTTCATGGCTTTTGATAATTTATCAATGCTACCAAAACCAGCGGGATTAGATGGATCATAATAAATCCTGTTAATTTCTTCTAGTACGGGGTCCATTTTTCCCACTCAAGCCTTTTACGTATTTTAGTTGTAGACTTTTTATCTTTACCGCTCGGTGTAGAAAACTCTTGAACTTCAATCTCAGAGAGTTTGTTCAGATCTTTTGCTTGAAGTTGGTTAATAAACTCACATCTCTTTGGATTTCCAATATAAGTAAGTGGTACTTTAATATCTTTTAATGCTTTAGCAAATCTATCCCACCCTACTGGATCACTTCTTTTTAAGGGTCTTAGAGAATCATTTATTAAATCAACAATATTACTTCCAGGAATTTTATCGTTATC